ACACCTGCCTCCCTCCAGTCATCTTGTTGACATGTACCTGCTGCCCACACCTGCATTCTTCCAGTCATCTTGTTGACAAGTATGTGCTGCCCACACCTGCCTTCCTCCAGTCATCTTGTTGACATGTACCTGCTGCCCACACCTGCCTCCCTCCAGTCATCTTGTTGACATGTACCTGCTACCCACACCTGCATTCCTCCAGTCATCTTGTTGACATGTATCTGCTGCCCACACCTGCATTCCTCCAGTCATCTTGTTGACATGTACCTGCTGCCCACACCTGCCTTCCTTCAGTCATCTTGTCGAGCTTTGCATCTGCATCAAGACACCTGCCTGATGGGTTTCTAGCGAGGAAGCCAAGACGTAAACAGTGTGTGTGTGTGTGTGTGTGTGTGTGTGTGTGTGTGTGTGTGTGTGTGTGTGTGTGTGTGTGTGTGTGTGTGTGTGTGTTGTGTATGTGTATGTGTGTGTGTGTGAGTGTGTGTGTGTGTGTGTGTGTGTGGTGTGTGTGTGTGTATGTGTGTGTGTGTGTGGTGTGTGTGTGTGTGTGTGTGCGTGTGTGTGTGTGTGTGTGTGTGTGTGTGTGTGTGTGTGTGTGTGTGTGTCTGTGTGTGTGTTGTGTTGTGTATGTGTGTATGTCTGTATGTGTGTGTGTGTGTGTGTGTGTGTGTGTGTGTGTGTGTGTAGGTGTGTGTGAGGGCGTGTACCCGTGGCACTGTGCCAATGCCCTAAGCAGAATCATCAACAAGGACACAGTCATTGTACATCCCCAACACTCACTGTGCATCCCCCACACTCACTGTACATCCCACACAATCACTGTACATCCCACACAATCACTGTACAACCCACATAATCACTGTACATCCCACACAATCACTGTACATCCCACACAATCACTGTACATCCCACACAATCACTGTACATCCCCCACAAGCACTGTACATCCCACACAATCACCGTACATCCCACACAATCACTGTACATCCCACATAATCACCGTACATCCCACACAATCACTGTACATCCCACACAATCACTGTACATCCCACACAATCACTGTACATCCCACACAATCACTGTACATCCCACACAATCACTGTACATCCCACACAATCACTGTACATACTCCATAATCACTGTACATACCACACAATCACTGTACATCCCCCACAAGCACTGTACATCCCACATAATCACCGTACATCCCACACAATCACTGTACATCCCACACAATCACTGTACATCCCACACAATCACTGTACATCCCACACAATCACTGTACATCCCGCACAATCACTGTACATCCCCCAAAACCACCGTACATCCCACACAATCACTGTACATCCCACACAATCACCGTACATCCCACACAATCACTGTACATCCCACACAATCACCGTACATCCCACACAATCACTGTACATCCCACACAATCACCGTACATCCCACACAATCGCTGTACATCTCACACAATCACCGTACATCCCACACAATCACTGTACATCCCACACAATCACCGTACATTCCCACACAATCACTGTACAGTCCCACACAATCACTGTACATCCCACACAATCACTGTACATCCCATACAATCACTGTTCATCCCACACAATCACCGTATATCCCAGACAATGACCGTATATCCCACACAATCACTGTACATCCCACACAATCACCGAACATCCCACACAATCACTGTTCATCCCACACAATCACCGTATATCCCAGACAATGACCGTACATCCCACACAATCACTGTACATTCCACACAATCACCGTACATCCCACATAATCACTGTACATCCCACACAATCACCGTACATCCCACACAATCACTGTACATCCCACACAATCACTGTACATCCCACACAATTACTGCACATCCAACACAATCGCTGTACATCCCACACAATCACTGTACGTCCCACACAATCACTGTACATCCCACACAATCACCGTACATCCCACACAATCACTGTACATCCCACACAATCACTGTACATCCCACACAATCACTGTACATCCCACACAATCACTGTACATCCCACACAATCACCGTACATCCCACATAATCACTGTACATCCCACACAATCACCGTACATCCCACACAATCACCGTACATCCCACACAATCACCGTACATCCCACACAATCACTGTACATCCCACACAATCAACGTATATCCCACACAATCACCGTACATCCCACACAATCACTGTACATCCCACACAATCACCGTACATCCCACATAATCACTGTACATCCCACACATTCACCGTACATCCCACACAATCACTGTACATCCTACACAATCACTGTACATCCCACACAATCACTGCACATCCCGCACAATCACTGTATATCCCACACAATCACCGTACATCCCACACAATCACTGTACATCCCACACAATCATTGTACATCCCACACAATCACTGTACATCCCACACAATTACTGTACATCCCACACAATCACTGTACATCCCACACAATCACCGTACATCCCACACAATCACTGTACATCCCACACAATCACTGTACATCCCACACAATCACCGTACATCCCACACAATCACCGTACATCCCACACAATCACCGTACATCCCACACAATCTCTGTACATCCCAAACAATCACCGTACATCCCACACAATCACCGTACATCCCACACAATCACCGTACATCCCACACAATCACGTACATCCCACACATCACCGTACATCCCACACATTCACCTTACATCCCACACAATCACTGTACATCCCACACAATCATTGTACATCCCACACAATCATTGTACATCCCACACAATCACTGTACATCCCACACATTCACCGTACATCCCACACATTCACCGTACATCCCACACATTCACCTTACATCCCACACAATCACTGTACATCCCACACAATCACCGTACATCCCACACATTCACCGTACATCCCACACATTCACCGTACATCCCACACATTCACCTTACATCCCACACAATCACTGTACATCCCACACATTCACCGTACATCCCACACAATCACCGTACACCCCACACAATCACTGTACATTACGTTAAACCTCGTAAAACAGGACAAATGATATATTCTGTTCCTGTTTATTCCTGAAGGTCTGACTACAGACGGAGGGTCAAGCCTGAACCACCCCTTTCCCGTGCTGAAGTCCCATAAGGGTTTAGCGCTCGCGAAAATGCATTCTACTGAACATGTAAGATAACAAGATTATGTTGTGAACTTCTACTGGTATTCAGTATACTGACATTCAGTATACTGACATTCAGTATACTGACATTCAGTATACTGACTTTCAGTATACTGACATTCAGTATACTGACTTTCAGTATACTGACATTCAGTATACTGACATTCAGTATACTGACTTTCAGTATACTGACTTTCAGTATATCGACATTCAGTATAACTGACATTCATATACTGACTTCGTATACTGTACATTCATATACTGAAATCAGTATACTGACTTTCAGTATACTACATTCCAGTATACTGACATTCAGTATACTGACTTCAGTATCTGACATTCGTATACTGCATTCTGTATACTGACTTTCGATAACTGACATTCAGTATACTGACATTCAGTATACTGACTTTCAGAATACTGACTTTCAGTATACTGACATTCAGTATACTTATCTCGACCGCTATCAGGGTTGCTTTCCTTCGGGACCTATCACTTTCCCCTCGTTAACTGTCAGTTTCTTCTCGATAACTGTCACTTTCCCCTCGATAACTGTCACTTTCCCCTCGATAACTGTCACTTTCCCTCGGCAAGTGCCACTTTCCCCCTCGGGAACTGGGTTATTATCCCTCTTAAGTTATCCCGAGTAATTAACTAAACTGGGTTAATACGTAAACAAAAAAGCATTATTTCTAGTATTATTCGACCCTAGGGTAAAAAAAGTAAACAATAAAAGTGAAGAATAGATTCAGTGTATAAAGTCTTTTCTTGGTCTTCCTTTAGACTTATGTGTAAGGGAATGAGGTTGACAAGTTGATATGTGTAATGAAAATGAGGTTGACAGGTTGAAAGAAGGCTCGTAAGAATTAGTTAAACTTATTTACATCAGGGTACGGGAACTCCTTGCTATATGACACCCTCGTTTGGCACTGTACTCAGCTGTGACGGGTGCCACTTGTTCGTTCCCCTTCGATCGTTTTCTTCCATCTTCGTTCTCTTACTTCATGAAATATTCAGCAGGGTAAACTGAAAGACAAATTATGGTTTTTGAGTGGTAAAATAAATTTATGGAAGTGAATTTGACGCTCCTCGTGAAGTTCCTCTAATGGGAAGCTTCAGTAGAGGTGGAGCCTCAAGGCTCACTCAACGCGACAGGGCTTTCCCATTACGTGGTTGCAACTCACGCGCAGCTGATGGCAGCTTCTGCTGCTTGGTACTGGGTAAACTGACCTCAGCATTGACGTCATGAGAAGCTGGGGATAAAACCCGAATAGATTCTTACCAAGACAACAAACGGAGGCCAGCAGCCCTCACGACAAGTACAGACCTCCAACGGTCTTCATCAAGGCAACATAGGGAGGCCAGCAGCCCTCACGACAAGTACAGACCTCCAACGGTCTTCATCAAGGCAACATAGGGAGGCCAGCAGCCCTCACGACAAGTACAGACCTCCAACGGTCTTCAACAAGGCAACATAGGGAGGCCAGCATCCCTCACGACAACTACAGACCTCCAACGGTCTTCATCAGGGCAACATAGGGAGGCCAGCATCCCTCACGACAAGTACAGACCTCCAACGGTCTTCATCAAGGCAACATAGGGAGGCCAGCAGCCCTCACGACAAGTACAGACCTCCAACGGTCTTCATCAAGGCAACATAGGGAGACCAGCATCCCTCACGACAAGTACAGACCTCCAACGGTCTTCATCAAGGCAACATAGGGAGGCCAGCAGCCCTCACGACAAGTACAGACCTCCAACGGTCTTCATCAAGGCAACATAGGGAGACCAGCATCCCTCACGACAAGTACAGACCTCCAACGGTCTTCATCAAGGCAACATAGGGAGGCCAGCAGCCCTCACGACAAGTACAGACCTCCAACGGTCTTCATCAAGGCAACATAGGGAGGCCAGCAGCCCTCACGACAAGTACAGACCTCCAACGGTCTTCATCAAGGCAACATAGGGAGACCAGCATCCCTCACGACAAGTACAGACCTCCAACGGTCTTCATCAAGGCAACATAGGGAGGCCAGCAGCCCTCACGACAAGTACAGACCTCCAACGGTCTTCATCAAGGCAACATAGGGAGGCCAGCAGCCCTCACGACAAGTACAGACCTCCAACGGTCTTCATCAAGGCAACATAGGGAGGCCAGCATCCCTCACGACAAGTACAGACCTCTAACTTGTAGAAATCAGTGTTAGCTTTCCTACATTACTAGGGGAAAGTTTCTGGTCAATAGCCACTCCAGAATATCTTACATGATTTTAGAAAGTGAGTATTTATCTATTATTTATTCTCTATCATTTATGGTTCATCCTGACAAAATATATTAAAGCCTATCTGTTCACAACAGCTAAATACTTGTCAATGAAATATTTTTGACATTTATCATGTGAAGGAGATTCGATTAGTTGCTGACTGATAGTAATTTAATGCTCCTTTTTTTTATTTCTAGAAATGCCTGAGGCAGAGAGAAAAGAGAGCTTCAAAAGTGTTAAGATGGTGGAGCTGACGACGCTGGAGCTGGAGCAGCAGTTCGCTGAAGTGAGACTCCTGAAGGAGACTAACAACGTCAAGGTCTTCGGCGCGAGATGCCTTCAGCCCCTCTTCACCAGTGTCGCTCTCAAGTGTGTACAGAAGAACGCCACCAAGAAGAAAGACTTCCACAGAGAGTTCCACTACAACTATAACCTAGGTCTTCACCCAAATATTATTTCGTGTCGCGCAGAAGCCTTCGAAACCAATAGCTCCTACATGTTTACTCAAGAACTTGCCCCAGAAGGTGACCTCTCAAAGTTCATCAAGAAAGGTGGCCTTAGAGAGCAGCATGCTAAGAGTGTGACTAAACAAGTTACCTCTGCCTTAGAAGTTATACACAAGAGAGATCTGGTTCATGGTGATGTTTGCACAGAAAACATCTTCGTTTTTGACCGAGAACTCTCACTAGTTAAGTTGGGTGACTTCAGCAAGACCCAGCAAGAGGGAGCACTGGTGAAGAAGTTAAAGGTTGGATCACCTTGGGCACCACCAGAAGTGAGTGTGGCCGTGTATAACGAAGGTTATCACGTCCACAGTAGCCAGGATGCCTGGCAACTCGGCATCCTCATCTTCGTGTGCCTGACTGGTTCATATCCTTGGTCTTCGGCCGATATCACAGACCATCACTACAACTCCTGGGTGGCCTGGCTCAAGCGTAAGACCACTAAGACGCCACGACGCTTCCGTTGCTTTACCCCTCGCCTTCTTCGCCTTCTGCGTCGCCTCCTACATCCAAAACTTGTGAATCGAACTGGTGTGAGGGAAGTGGTCAAGTATCTCTCTGAACCCTGGCTTTTAACTAACGTATCTTCAAATGTAACTATAGACAGCAGTTCGTCAGAATTCTTGGGAGCCAGTAAAATATCTCTATTTTCTCGCTCAGAAAGTAAAGTGGTTGAGATTATCAGTTCCTATTTACATCGCTATAGGTCAATGAAAAGATAGAAGACTTCTTGTGCCTCCCGGAGTTGTAGCAGGCAAGGTTGTCGGCGCCTGACTGACGAAGTTCTCCCTGCACGTCTTCAGAGTGACCAAAAATCCATGTGATCTAGCTGGTTGCTGGGGCCACCAGCATGTCAGGTATCAGGGTGCTGGAGTCACTAGCATGTCAGGTATCAGGGTGCTGGAGTCACTAGCATGTCAGGTATCAGGGTGCTGGAGTCACCAGCATGTCAGGTATCAGGGTGCTGGAGTCACCAGCATGTCAGGTATCAGGGTGCTGGAGTCACACATGTCAGGTATCAGGGTGCTGGAGTCACCAGCATGTCAGGTATCAGGGTGCTGGAGTCACCAGCATGTCAGGTGTCAGGGTTGCTAAAAGTTGTATGATACACAGGTTTACCACGCTGCCTGGATACCGAGGCTCGCCTCGCCTCAACTCACAACTAACTCACAGTATGGAAGTACAAACCAGTTGATGTATCGATCTGTTCTGACCCAATATTAAGCCGTGAATGTGAATGACTTGTTAGCTGTGAATTCTTCCAGCCGCGATATAGTGTGCATTGTTCCAGCCACGGTATCGTGTGCATTGTTCCAGCCACGGTATCTTGTGCATTGTTCCAGCCACGGTATCGTGTGCATTGTTCCAGCCACGGTATCTTGTGCATTGTTAAAGCCACGGTATCTTGTGCATTGTTCCAGCCACGGTATCTTGTGCATTGTTCCAGCCACGGTATCTTGTGCATTGTTCCAGCCACGGTATCGTGTGCATTGTTCCAGCCACGGTATCTTGTGCATTGTTCCAGCCACGGTATCGTGTGCATTGTTCCAGCCACGGTATCTTGTGCATTGTACCAGCCACGATATCGTGAATTTCATGCATCATATTTTACAAGGACCAATCTTATCAGATAATTTCACTAATATAAATGTTTGTTCCTATAGACATAAGCCGAGCAGGGTGACCAAAGAAGGAATCACATTCACCGTGATTCAATCAATAGCTGACTTACCAGAAGTGAACAGACAACATTGTTCTTTGATCTGTGACTTACCGTATATTGTTTTTTGTGTATGTTTGTTTATTGTATTTTAATGTATATTGTATTGTATTATCATCACCCTTGAAGGAAAGTGAAATGTTAATATGAATTTTCTACATTTTTCATGACATAAATATACTGGAAATAGTCTATTATTGCTATTTTGAAAAATATTTTTAAATAAATAAAAGTGTAATATATCGTGTGTTTTTTTTACTGTAATCAATGTTTGTTTGTTTTTTTAATAATTATGTGGTTTTAATATAAAGAGAGAGAGAGAGAGAGAGAGAGAGAGAGAGTGGGCGTCACTTAGTTGTCACTGGCACATGTCGATAGACACATGACCTGCTGTGTATGTGGGTGTGTGTGTGAGTGTGTGTGTATGTGTTGTGTGTGTTGTGTGTGTGTGTGTGTGTGTGTGTGTTGTGTGGTGTGTGTGTGGTGTGGGTATGAGTGGGTGTTGTGTGTGTGGTGTTGTGATGTGTGTAGTGTGTGTGTGTGTGTGTGTGTGGTGTGTGTGTGTGTGTGTGTGTGTGGTGTGGGTGTGTGTGTATGTGTGTGTGTATGTGTGTGTGTGTGTGTGTGTGAGTGTGTGTGTGTGTGGGTGTGTGTGTGTGTGTGTGTGTGAGTGTGTATGTGTGTGTGGGTGTGTGTGTGTGTGTGTGGTGTGTGTGTGTGTGTGTGTGTGTGTGTGTGTGTGTGTGTGTGTGTGTGTGTGTGTGTGTGTGTGTGTGTGTGTGTGTGTGTGTGTGTGTGTGTGTGTACTCACCTAGTTGAGGTTGCAGGGGTCGAGTCCAAGCTCCTGGCCCCGCCTCTTCACTGGTCGCTACTAGGTCACTCTCCCTGAACCGTGAGCTTTATCATACCTCTGCTTAAAGCTATGTATGGATCCTGCCTCCACTACATCGCTTCCCAAACTATTCCACTTACTGACTACTCTGTGGCTGAAGAAATACTTCCTAACATCCCCGTGATTCATCTGTGTCTTCAACTTCCAACTGTGTCCCCTTGTTGCTGTGTCCAGTCTCTGGAACATCCTGTCTTTGTCCACCTTGTCAATTCCTCTCAGTATTTTGTATGTCGTTATCATGTCCCCCCTATCCCTCCTGTCCTCCAGTGTCGTCAGGTTGATTTCCCTTAACCTCTCCTCGCAGGACATACCTCTCAGCTCTGGGACTAGTATTGTTGCAAACCTTTGCACTTTCTCTAGTTTCTTTACGTGTTTGGCTAGGTGTGGGTTCCAAACTGGTGCCGCATACTCCAATATGGGCCTAACGTACACGGTGTACAGGGTCCTGAACGATTCCTTATTAAGATGTCGGAATGCTGTTCTGAGGTTTGCTAGGCGCCCATATGCTGCAGCAGTTATTTGGTTGATGTGCGCTTCAGGAAATGTGCCTGGTGATATACTCACCCCAAGATCTTTTTCCTTGAGTGAGGTTTGTAGTCTCTGGCCCCCTAGACTGTACTCCGTCTGCGGTCTTCTTTGCCCTTCCCCAATCTTCATGACTTTGCACTTGGTGGGATTGAACTCCAGGAGCCAATTGCTGGACCAGGTCTGCAGCCTGTCCAGATCCCTTTGTAGTTTTGCCTGGTCTTAGATCGAATGAATTCTTCTCATCAACTTCACGTCATCTGCAAACAGGGACACCTCGAAGTCTATTCCTTCCGTCATGTCGTTCACAAATACCAGAAACAGCACTGGTCCTAGGACTGACCCCTTTGGGACCCCGCTGGTCACAAGTGCCCACTCTGACACCTCGCCGCGTACCATGACTCGCTGTTGTCTTCCTGACAAGTATTCCCTGATCCATTGTAGTGCCTTCCCTGTTATCCCTGCTTGGTCCTCCAGTTTTTGCACTAATCTCTTGTGTGGAACTATGTCAAACGCCTTCTTGCAGTCCAAGAAAATGCTATCCACCCACCTCTCTCTCTCTTGTCTTACTGCTGTCACCATGTCATAGAACTCCAGTAGGTTTATGACACAGGATTTCCCGTCCCTGAAACCATGTTGGCTGCTGTTGATGAGATCATTCCTTTCTAGGTGTTCCACCACTCTTCTCCTGATAATCTTCTCCATGATTTTGCATACTATACATGTCAGTGACACTGGTCTGTAGTTTAGTGCTTCATGTCTGTCTCCTTTTCTAAAGATTGGGACTACATTTGCTGTCTTCCATGCCTCAGGCAATCTCCCTGTTTCGACAGATGTATTGAATATTGTTGTTAGGAGTACACATAGTGCCTCTGCTCCCTCTCCCCGGACCCATGGGGAGATGTTATCTGGTCCCATTGCCTTTGAGGTATCTAGCTCACTCAGAAGCCTCTTCATTTCTTCCTCGGTTGTGTGCACTGTGTCCAGCACATGGTGGTGTGCCCCACCTCTCCGTCTTTCTGGAGTCCCTTCTGTCTCCTCTGTGAACACTTCTTTGAATCTCTTGTTGAGTTCCTCACATATTTCACGGTAATTTCTTGTTGTCTCTCCTCCTTCCTTCCTTAGCCTGATTACCTGGTCCTTGACTGTTGTTTTCCTCCTGATGTGGCCGTATAACAGTTTCGGGTCAGATTTGGCTTTCGCTGCTATGTCGTTTTCATATTGTCTTTGGGCCTCCCTTCTCATCTGTGCATATTCGTTTCTGGCTCTACGACTGGTCTCTTTATTCTCCTGGGTCCTTTGCCTTCTATATTTCTTCCATTCCCTAGCACACTTGGTTTTTGCCTCCCTGCACCTTCGGGTGAACCATTGGCTCATCCTGGCTTTTTCATTAATCCTGTTACCCTTGGGTACAAACCTCTCCTCAGCCTCCTTGCACATTGTTGCTACATATTCCATCAACTCATTAACTGGCTTCCCTGCCAGTTCTCTGTCCCACTGAACCTCATTCAGGAAGTTCCTCATTCCCGTGTAGTTCCCTTTCTTGTAGTTTGGCTTCATTCGTCCTGGCCTTCCTGCTTCCCCCTCCACTTGTAGCTCTACTGTGTATTCGAAGTGTGTGTGTGTGTGTGTGTGTGTGTGTGTGTGTGTGTGTGTGTGTGTGTGTGTGTGTGTGTGTGTGTGTGTGTGTGTGTGTGTGTGTGTGTGTGTATGTGTGTGTGTGTGTGTATGTGTGTGTGTGTGTGTGTGTGTGTGTGTGTGTGTATGTGTGTGTGTGTGTGTGTGTGTGTGTGTGTGTGTGTGTGTGTGTGTGTGTGTGTGTGTGTGTGTGTGTGTGTGCGAATGGCTAACTTGACCATTATATTCTCAATCAAAATCAGAGTTGATTTCTTCCCTAAAAATACAATGCGTTGATTTGACTCTGGGATTACGTATTTCTATACAGTCTCTCGAGAGCCCATTCGTATGTAAAGCTTACAGTACTTTGTTATCCAAACTAGGTTGGCTGGTTTGTGGGTTTGAAGCCTGTCTACTGCACGAGGGTCATTAAGGCTACACGTCACCTGTGCACCACCAGTCAAGAATACTTTAATACCTATGACAGGTATTAATGTAAATTCTTAGTGTATGTACACTGAGAGATATACTCTCCCCTCGCTCTCTCTCCTATCCTACCTCACGTATCTAGCTCTCTTCCTCCTCTTTCTCTCTCCCACTTTCTATTCCATCCTTAAGACGTTACTGTCCATTACACTATCCTTCCTAGCCTTCTTATTGTCTATCCTCCCTTACACAATCTATTCTTCCTTTCACAACCTATCCTCCCTTACATATCCTATCCTCCCCTCCCACAACATATCCTCTCCTCCCACAATCTATCTTCCCCTCCCACAACCTATCCTCCCCTCCCACAACATATCCTCTCCTCTCACAATCTATCTTCCCCTCCCACAACCTATCCTCCCCTCCCACAACATATCCTCTCCTCCCACAATCTATCTTCCCCTCCCACAACCTATCCTCCCCTCCCACAACCTATCCTCCCTCCCACAACATATCCTCTCCTCCCACAATCTATCTTCCCCTCCCACAACCTATCCTCCCCTCCCACAACATATCCTCTCCTCTCACAATCTATCTTCCCCTCCCACAACCTATCCCCCCTCCCACAACATATCCTCTCCTCCCACAATCTATCTTCCCCTCCCACAACCTATCCTCCCCTCCCACAACCTATCCTCCCCTCCCACAACATATCCTCTCCTCCCACAATCTATCTTCCCCTCCCACAACCTATCCTCCCCTCCCACAACCTATCCTCCCCTCCCACAACATATCCTCTCCTCCCACAATCTATCCACCCCTCCCACAACCTATCCTTCCCTCCCACAGACTTTACCAAGCTGTCACTTCCACAATGACCTGAACAAAAATAGTAATCTGCCCTCAGGCGTAGAGAGGGGAGACACTGTGCCTGTCTCCCCTCTCTCTCCTCAGGCTCCAAGTTACTCTTATTATTATTATTATTATTATTATTATTATTATTATTATTACTATTAGTATTATTATTATTATTAGTATTATTATTATTATTATTATTATTTATATTATTATTATTATTATTATTATTATTATTATTATTATTATTATATCATTTTATTATAATTTTGATCATATCATTATTATTATTATTATTATTATTATTATTATATATTATATATCATCATTAGAATTATCATTATTGTCATTACCATTATTACTATTAGCATTTTATCATTGTATCATCATTATCATTATTATCATCATTATAATCGTCATTATCATTATAGTCATTATTATTATTATTATCATTATCATTATTATCATTATCATTATTATCATTATCCTTATTATGATTATTATTATCATTATCACTATAATCATTATAATCTTCAGTATCATTATAATCATCATCATTATCATCATTGTCACCATAATCACCATCATTGCACTCCTCAACCTAGTATCAATTAACGACGCTAATTGCCCCATTAGGCAACCATGGTCTGGTAACAAGCAGGCAGAGAATAGCTTCAAACGTTCAATTATGAACGCTTATTACTGCTGCTGCCAGACTGGAACAACACCCGTTTACCCCGTTGGTGTAAATGTCTGTATCTAACGGGACAGGTAAGAGAAGTAACAGAAACAGTTATTTTTTCTCCAGGCTGGTGAATTGACCAGGATTTGAGCCTGTCTCTGGCTAGGCCTATAAGTATTATATCCTATGGTTTAATCACTGTACCATGCTGGTACGAATAAAATTGTTCATGTTTGTTCTCTGGGTCAGTGGTAAGTGGGAAGGTTGATTGGTTTGTTGAGTTTGAAACCTATCTACTACACGGTGGGTCATTAAGGTTGCATGTCACCTGTTCACCACCAGTCAAGAATACTTTAATACATGAAATCGGGATTAAAGTCATCTCTCTTTTTACGTACACTGAGATATACACACCGGTTAGTGTATATACACTGAGAGATACCTCTCAGTGTATATACACTGAGAGATACCTCTCAATGTATATACACTGAAAAACGCTATTAATAATAATTAAAATAAATCCAATGCTAAATTTCACATTCCCAAATGAGAAGCAATTTTTTCTTTGACACAAAAAAAAATCGTAATCCACATCCTCATCATTTTTTCCCCAGAAATCCGTTTTTTTTTTTTTTTTTTTTTTTCAGCGACAGTATTGTGAAGGCGGAGACTCGCGTCTCTCCCCAGTTCGGGGGTGGAAAAAAGAGACATCGTTAGTTCTGGCTAAGAGTGCAAGCTGAAGGTTTTCGAACAAGCGAACAGCTTTAAGCTGAGACGATATGAGGGGAAGGGGGGCGAGGGGAAGGAACCCCCTTTAGTGTCCGAAGTGAGATCGAACGCTCTTTAAGATTTACGTTCCACTTAAGAGTTCATAACGTCGGCGAATTGTGTTTACCGGGAGTTCGCATCTTCTTTTCGCAGTCGAAGGATGCTGTCTGGAGAATGTTTGCATCGGCTGAGAGATGCTAGTTTACGGAGGGTCGTTGAGACTAGCTTTCTATAGACAGCTTCTTACGCAGCGGCTGGAACCGTCGTCATGACAACGACGCAGGCGCTGGCCATCCGTGACGTCATCAGTGACGTCACCACCGAGGGGAGATCAAAAAGACGAGTGCCTGGCCGTGCGGCCCTCAGAGTGACACTCGGCGTCGGCCAGGACAGGCATCAAAACCACCTTGTATATACACCTCGGGGTTCCCTCCTTCCTTCCCTCCCCTCCCACGACAGCCCTGGATTATTACTTCGACAACACGGATTCTCCCACGCCATCTTCTTCAGGTGGGTCCTCCCTACCCCTGGCAGGATCATGACGTCATTACTGTGATAAACACACACACACACACACACACACACACACACACACACACACACACACACACACACACACACACATACACACACACACACATGAAAGGTTTGACGATCGCGTGTTCAGCGAAACTTGCTAAATATATCGACTTGTGGAAGCTGCGTGAAGGAAAGTGTTCTCAGACACGCCAGAGGCTTTAAAGACTGGAGTTGAAACTTCAGTGATACGCCTTTACGAATATACGATCAGCTGGTAGGATATAATTTAAATACATAACAGAAACAGCGTTATATAATGTATACCACTGGAGGAAAGACGCGAGTGCGGAGCGAAACGTTATCAAAACGAAAGTTTGCTCTGGAACTGTTTCTCCTTCAGTGCTGTCAGCATTATATTGATGTATTTATTCACCTTTTGACTTGAAATTTTGTTTTGTAATGAGAATTAGGTAACACTAGCATTGCTAGCACGGTATGGAAGATATTGTTATTTTGTTTACTGCTCTAACGACTGGCATTAATGAGTATTGCTTCTTCTCTCCACAGAGATGAGTGGAGGCAGTAAAGGGGCCAGCTTCCACCGGGTCAAAACTTTCGAACTGCCGCGGCTGGAGCTGGACCGGCAGTTCTCCGACGTGCGACTGCTGGCTGAAGGCTGGTACGCCAAGGTGTACTCTGCCAAACACCTCGAGACTGACAACAACGTCGTCCTCAAGTGTGTGCAGAAAGAGACGACGAAGAAGAAGGATTTCTTTCGCGAGTTCCATTACAATTATTACCTCAGCCCGCACCCCAACGTTGTCAATAGCTTTGATGTGGCCTTTGAGACAAACAGCTCGTTTGTGTTCGCCCAAGAGCTAGCGCCCAACGGAGATTTGGCTCAGTTTGTGAGGAAAGGCGGTCTAGGGGAAATTCGAGCCAAGCGCGTGGCTGAACAAATTGCCTTCGCTCTGGAGTTCGTACACAGCAAAGACTTGGTTCACCGAGACGTTCGTCTGGAAAATATCTTCGTCTTCGACCGGGAACTCTCGCGTGTGAAGCTGGGAGACTTCGGCAACACTCAACGTGCAGGAGCCTTGGTGAAGAAAGTCAACGTACGGGTGCCCTGGGCCCCACCAGAGGTGTGCCAGGCGGTGTACAACGAGGGATACCACGTGGAGACCTGCCTAGATGCATGGCAGCTCGGTATCCTAATCTTCGCGTGCCTGACGGGGTCGTATCCCTGGTACTCGGCAGATATCACGGACCGTCACTACAACTCCTGGGTGGCCTGGCTCAAACGCAAGACTACAAAAATTCCTCGTCGATTCAAGTGCTTCACTCCGCGGCTTCTTCGCCTTCTGCGACGCCTGCTGGAGCCTAAATCTGAGAAGCGTGCTGGCGTGAGGGAGGTTTACAAATACCTCTCTGATTCCTGGCTAGTTAAAGGAATGGATCCTCTCGACATCGCCTTCGACGAGAGTTCTTCAGAAATCTTCGTCACCAGCACCAAGCCATTGTACGAGTGCGCGGAGAAGAAGAAGCTTGTCGAGCTCTTGAGATCTTATGGTATACAGACCACAGTCGACAAGAAGGAAACAACAAAACGTATCTGCGAATGGCTTCTGACCTCAGCGTCACCCATACAGCGAGGGATGTAACCCAGAGTGGGAGTGTTCCTCCTCCCTCTATTCAACATGATACACAGCTGCTGTGACCTGGGCTGGGTACCCAGGGACCATATGACCTCGTCTGGTGATAAAAAGGCTACGTGACCTGTGCTGGTGACCTAGGGAGCTATGCAATCAGTAATGGTGATCCCAAAACCTTTTGAAATGGGTTGAGCCAGGGACCGTGATACCTGAGCTGGTGATCCAGATTGCAGACTTATACCTGTACAGCATGGAGTAGTAGCCTGCATCTGTGTGAAACAGACTACATAAAACAACATGATAAGATCAATATTCGTGGGATCAATGATACTGACTTTCAACCTGAAAGCCTGTAGCCAAACAGTTATATGATATAGGGTCTGGTTTACATTCTTGTGGCCCTGTTTAGTGTGTGGCTCTGTTTGGTGTGTAGCCCTGTTTGATGTGTGACCCTGCTTGATGTGTGGCCCTACTTGGTGTGCGGCCCTGCTTGATGTGTGGCCCAAAAGTTATGAAGGGTTCCTGTAGATAACTTTGTGGCCCTGCTTGATGTGTGGCCAAGAGGTCACAAGAGGTCACTATGAATAACGTTATGGCCCTGTTTGACGTATGGCCCATTGGTCATAATGGGTGCCTGTGATTAACATTGTGGCCCTGTTTGGTGCCTGTACGTGACGTTACCGTGCCAAAGACTGCGTGTGCTGTGGCAGGAGCCCAGCACTACGTTACTTGGACTGTGATAGTAAACTTACCTGGGAACGACTCAGTGGAACGCGAACCTTGTGTGTGACACAGCGTCCTGACCAACATATACTAAATCCTGGCTCAAAAGAACGACCCCAGGGACGCAATGAAGTACAAGAAAAGTGTTCAGTATTTCGGCCTCACTGTGAGGCCTTCTTCAGCAAGCTTTCTGCCGAAATGCAAATCACTTCTCTTCTATTTTATTGTCTCCGTGTGGATTTCGTTATACCAATGACCAGTGTCTATTACACATGTCAACAGCTCATGTCAAACTTCCACATATCAAACACGTTGTTAATTTTGATATGACATAGCCCTAAATCAATCCATATTCTCCAGGTAATGCATGTGTCCTTTGTATCAAAGGAATTAGAACAAAATAAATACATGTATTTTAATAGGAATTTAAGTATTGTGGATGTACTTTGAGTACATTATTTTTGAAGCTTGTTACGACTGCTAGACTAGTCTTCCAGGATAGAGTAAGCTTCGCTAGTGACCCGCACTGAGACCTCAGAGATAGTCCCTGATCCCAAAGCTGAGGACACCACATTGAAGCCCCACGCCCACACTCACGCCAGTATTCAGATCCATGCTTTTATCTCTCCTCCACGGATACTTGAGTACCCCCCCCCCACACACACACACAAACCTCTGTTTTAATACACTTTTGCTTGCGAGGAAAACGCACTTTAAAGGCATGTGCCGAAACGCTTGCATCTACATTCACGCCGTATGTAATCACGTCAACCACCCTCGCTCCTTATATCTACAACTACGCACACTTTCTGGCACCTACACATTTACGTTCCTTCCTACGCCCACACACACACACACACACACACACACACACACACACATACACACACACACACACACACACGTTCCTTTTTCCACAACCCAGACATAAATACCAGACTTCCTTTCCTCCTCCCTTGACATATCTTCGTGGTGTTCTCCTGCAAGTGGTGGTATTAACCCACCTACCATCCCCTGAGCAAGGCTTGAACTCTGCACCTACACCTGATCGCCACCTAGCATATCACCCACACCCAATACTCAGCCATCAGGTGAAGCTTCAGAATTCCATGTTTTGGCGATTGTGTTCGTACAAGTATAGAGAGAGTGAGCGAAGTGACCTTGCTTTTATTTAGTATGTCAGGTCATTCTGTTTAAATGGGGGATTGTTTTGTCCCCAGATATTTTGTATATTCTTATTTATTGACGAAGAAATATCAAAATAAAAGAAATGGCCGATAAGAAGTATGTTTTATGTGTCCTGAAGTCGAGGCTACCGAGGTGGAAGGTGAGGCTACCGAGGTGGAAGCTGAGGCTACCGAGGTGGAAGCTGAGGCTACCGAGGTGGAAGCTGAGGCTACCGAGGTGGAAGGTGAGGCTACCGAGGTGGAAGGTGAGGCTACCGAGGTGGAAGGTGAGGCTACCGAGGTGGAAGGTGAGGCTACCGAGGTGGAAGGTGAGGCTACCGAGGTGGAAGGTGAGGCTACCGAGGTGGAAGGTGAGGCTACCGAGGTGGAAGTGAGGCTACCGAGGTGGAAGGTGAGGCTACCGAGGTGGAAGCTGAGGCTACCGAGGTGGAAGCTGAGGCTACCGAGGTGGAAGCTGAGGCTACCGAGGTGGAAGCTGAGGCTACCGAGGTGGAAGCTGAGGCTACCGAGGTGAAGGTGTTTTCTGCGTAAATGAAATTCATGTCTGGTTCCCACACTATGTGTGTGTGACAGGTTGCGTTCCTGGCTGACACTTCATTAATGTCTTTTGCATTCTCTCTCTCTCTATCTCTCTCTCTCTCTCTCTCTCTCTCTCTCTCTCTCTCTCTCTCTTTTCCCTCTCTCCTCTCTCTCTCTCTCTCTCTCTCTCTCTTTTCTCTCTCTCTCTCCTCTCTCTCCCTTTTCTCTCTCTCACTCTCTCTCTCTCTCTCTCTCTCTCTCTCTGCTGGTTCACTTAGTTATTGATTTCTCTTTTTCATTCAAAACATCTGAGGCAGTCATGCCCATTCAACTCTGAAGACATTGCCTCATCTCCACTCTCTCGCTATACATCTCAATCTCTGAAGCTGCTCATACATCATGCACCATTCACTCTGATAAGACATGTCCTATACATCATGCAACATTCAACTCTGAAAGACATGTCTCATACATCATGCAACATTCAACTCTGAAAGACATGTCTCATACATCATGCAACATTCAACTCTGAAAGACATGTCTCATACATCATTTCAACTTCAACTCTGAAAGACATGTTCTCATACATCATGCAACTTCACTCTGAAAGACATGCCTCATACATCATGCAACATTCAACTCTGAAAGACATGTCTCATACATCATGCAACATTCAACTCTGAAAGACATGCTCATACATCATGCAACATTCAACTCTGAAAGACATGTCTCATACATCATGCAACATTCAACTCTGAAAGACATGTTCATACATTCATAAACATTCAACTCTGAAAGACATGTCTCATACATCATGCAACATTCAACTCTGAAAGACATGTCTCATACATCATGCAACATTCAACTCTGAAAGACATGCCTCATACATCATGCAACATTCAACTCTGAAAGACATGTCTCATACATCATGCAACATTCAACTCTGAAAGACATGCTCAACATATGCAACATTAAACTCGAAAAATTTTCTCATAATCATGCAACATTCAACTCTAAAAGACATGTCTCATACATCATGCAACATTCAACTTTTGAAAGACATGCTCATACATCATGAAACATTCAACTCTGAAAGACATGCCTCATACATCATGAAAACATTCAACTCTGAAAGACATGCCTCATACATCATGAAAACTTAAAACTCTGAAAGACTGCCTCAACATCATGCAACATTCAACTCTGAAAGACATGTCTCATACATCATGCAACATTCAACTCTGAAAGACATGCCTCATACATCATGCAACGTTCAACTCTGAAAGACATGCCTCATACATCATGCAACATTCAACTCTGAAAGACATGTCTCATTCATCATGCAATATTATTTTCACATTCCTGTTTCTTTTATTGTTTTCCATTTCCTTCTATTCTTCTCCTCCTCTATTTTCGTCCTGTTCATCCTACCACAAATACTTCCCCTTCCTCCCTCCTTCTTTCTCTATCTTCCTCCTTCCTTCCCTCCCCCCTTCCCTCCTTTTAACCTTCCGTCTCATTCTGTCCTCGCCCTCTCCCTCTATCCTCCCCTCTCCCTCTATCCTCCCTCTCCCTCTATCCTCCCTTCTCCCTCTATCCTCCCCTCTCCCTCTATCCTCCCCTCTCCCTCTATCCTCCCCTCTCCCTCTATCCTTCTTCTCTCCCTCTATCCTTCTTCTCTCCCTCTATCCTTCCCCTCCCTTCGCCAGGAAGGTAAAAATCTTAGTACAGCAGTGTAAGAGTCCTCTGCTCGACTCTTACTAACCACTGTCAATATGGACGTCCCAGCTACCAGTCTTGTCGTCATCTCACGTCTTCCACTCTTTCTTAGACCACCTCTCTCTCTTCTCTCTCTCTCCTCTCTCTCGTCTCTCTCCTCTCTCTCCTCTCTCTCTCTCGCTCTTCCTCCTTCCTCTGGCACTTTTCTTAACATGTTATTCCTTTTTTTTCCTCTATTACTACTACCACTACTACCACTACTACCACTACTACCACTACCACCACTACTACCACTACTACTACTACTACTGCTACTACTACTACTACCACTACTACCACTACTACTACTACCACTACTACTACTACTACTACTACCACTACTACCACTACCACCACTACTACCACTACTACTACTACTACTGCTACTACTACTGCTACTACTACTACTAGTACTACCACTACTACTACTACTACTACTACTACTACCACTACCACTACTACCACTACTACCACTACTACTACTACTTATACTACTACTACTACTTCTACTACTTATACTACTACTACTACTACTACTACCACTACTACCACTACTACCACTACTACTACTACTACTACTACTACTACTACTACTACCACCACCACCACCACTAACTAACTACATACTACTACTACTACTACTAACTACTTCTACTACTACTACTACCACTACTACTACTACTACTACTACTACTACCACTACTACTACTACTACTACTACTACTACTACTACTACTACTACTACTACCACTACTACTACTACTACTACTACTAACCAATACTACTACTACTACTACTACTACTACTACTACTACTTCTACTACTACTTATACTACTACTACTACTTCTACTACTTATACTACTACTACTACTACTACCACTACTACTACTACTACTACTACTACTACTACTACTACCACCACTACTACTACTACTACTACTACTACTACTACTACTACTACTACATATTACTACCACTACTACTACTACTACTACTACTGCTACTATTACTACTACTACTACTACTACCACTACTACCACTACTACTACTACTACTACTACTACTACTACTACTACTACCACTACTACTACTACTACTACTACTACTACTACGACTACTACTTCTACTACTACTACTACGACTACCACTACTACTACTACTACTACGACTACTACTACTACCACCACCGCTACTACTACTACTACTACTACTACTATACTTACTACTATTACTACTACTACTACTACCACCGCTACTACTACTACTACCACTACTACTACTACTACCAATACTACTACTACTACTACTACTACTACTACTACTACTACTACTACTACTACTACTACCACTACTACTACTACTACTTCTACTACTACTTATACTACTACTACTACTTCTACTACTTATACTACTACTACTACTACTACTACTACTACTACCACTACTACTACTACTACTTCTACTACTACTACCACCACTACTACTACTACTACTACTACTACTACTACTACTACCACTACTACTACTACTACTACTACTACTATTACTACTACTACTACTACTACTACCACTACTACCACTACTACTACTACTACTACTACTACTAACTACACACTACTACTAGGACTACTACTTCTACTACTACTACTACTACTACTACTACGACTACTACTTCTACTACTACTACTACTACTACTACCACTACTACTGCTACTACTTCTACTACTACTACCACCACCGCTGCACAAACTACTACTACTACTATTACTACTACTACTATTTACTACTACCACTACTACCACTACTACTACTAACTACTACTACCACTACTACTACTACTATTTAACTACTACTACAAACTACCACTATACTACTACTACTACAAACTACTACTACTACTACTACTACTACCACTACTACGACTACTACTTCTACTACTACTTATACTACTACTACTACTACCACTTAAACTACTGTTTCGACTACTATTTCTACTACTAGTATTTCTTCTTCTTCTTCTGCTTCTTCTTCTTCTTCTTCTTCTTTTTCTTCTTCTTCTTCTTTTTCTTCTTCTTCTTCTTCTTCTTCTTCTTCTTCTTCTTCTTCTTCTTCTTCTTCTTCTTTCTTCTTCTTCTTCTCTTCTTCTTCTTCTTCTTCTTCTTCTTCTTCTTCTTCTTCTTTTTTTCTTCTTCTCTTTCATCTTCATCTTCTTCATCTTCTTCTCCTCCTCCTCTTCCTCTTCCCTACCCTCCTTCCTGTTCATCCTCTTTCCCTCACCACTGGTTAAGAGGATCAGGGATGCTGGTTGGCTTGAGATGAAAGTGGCAGATGACGATTGTACCTCATCTCTCAACCACTGGAGGAGATTAGTGGAGTTTGTGGTTGAGCTTAGTGATGGAGTGGGCAGGGAGGGTGGAGAAGTGGAGTTTGGAGAGGGAGGGATCGAAGAGGTGTGTGAGAGGGGTATGAAGAGTGGGAGAAGGAGAGGAGAAAGGAGAAGAATGCTGGTGGTGATGCTTCGAGGCTGATGGCGAGTTTTTGATCCAAGTAATTAGAGCTCCTCTCGTCTTCCTCGGATCACACCTGATTACCTCTCATTCATCAGGCTCTACATGACCCATATAATTTTACTACTTCCTAAAGAATATAATAACATTGATAATAATAATAATAATAATAATAATAATAATAATAATAATAATAATAATAATAATAATAATTATTATTATTATTATTATTATTATTATTATTATTATTATTATTATTATTATTATTATTATTATTATTATTAT